AACAGAACATAGAGCAGGTGCTAAACCGTTTACATTTTAAAGTTACATCTTATGTTAGTTCTGTCCCTGTTGTCACACTAACTCAGTCTCACTGTCTCAGTTGTGACACTAACCAACCCTTCTTCTCACAGTTGTTTGCTTCACAAAACTAGTCTTCCTGTTCAAGTTGACACACTAACCCAGTCTCACTGTCTCAGTTGTGACACTAACCAACCCTTCTTCTCACAGTTGTTTGCTTCACAAAACTAGTCTTCCTGTCCAAGTTGACACACTAACCCAGTCTCACTGGGTTAGTTGTGACACTAACCAACCCTTCTTCTCACAGTTGTTTGCATCACAAAACTAGTCTTCCTGTCCAAGTTGACACACTAACTCAGTCTCACTGTCTCAGTTGTGACACTAACCAACCCTTCTTCTCACAGTTGTTTGCATCACAAAACTAGTCTTCCTGTCCAAGTTGACACACTAACTCAGTCTCACTGTCTCAGTTGTGACACTAACACAGTCACTCTATCCCAGTTGCTACACTTAGTCTTCCTGTCCCACTTGTTACACTAACCCAGTCTCACTGTCTCAGTTGTGACACTAACACAGTCTCACTGTCTCAGTTGTGACACTAACCCAGTCTCACTGTCTCAGTTGTGACACTAACCAACCCTTCTTCTCACAGTTGTTTGCATCACAAAACTAGTCTTCCTGTCCAAGTTGACACACTAACTCAGTCTCACTGTCTCAGTTGTGACACTAACACAGTCACTCTATCCCAGTTGCTACACTTAGTCTTCCTGTCCCACTTGTTACAATAACCTAGTCTCCCTGTCCCAGTCGTTACAGTAACCCAGTCTCTCTATCCCATTTGTTACACTTACCAGGTTTCCCTTGTCGCATCATTTTTTTTTAAATAATAATTAAGGAAAGCTGGGAGAGGGTCTAAGCCTTCCTAAAAAATGGGTACATTTAACGAACTTGGACCCATCTCATTATGATTGACAGAGTCCGACCAGGACACTGTGATTGGACATTTTGTCTCTGCCTTAACCTGTGAGACTCGCAAGTGTAAGTGACGTCAGCTTGGTCGACGCTCCTACCGGTAACCAAGCGTGCTCTATATTACAGGATGTGAGAGCCTTCAACGACACCATAACATGTACAACTGGCCCTAACCCCAACCACCCCCTAACCTTCTCCCATATACTGAACCTAGGTCCCACGAGAGAGTGTAATCTACAGCAGTAGACCGGAACACCCCTATAATCTTAAGCAACGTGGACCAGCCTGACCGAGCATCAGTGAAAGGGGACCTAGTGTGTAGATGGACGGAGCTGGGCATGAGTTCGTTACCAATTGCAAAAAATGTTGGGCTGTTAAATCACCCCCTCCCCCTTTTTTTCCACCACGAGGTCTCTTTTAACAAATGTTTTGTTTGTTTTTGTATATTTTATTTGAAATGTAACATAATTTTTTCACCATTAAACATGTTAATATTATTATTAAGCATTTAAAAAAGCTTATGAACCGTGGCGGGGGGGGGGGTGGGGGGGGGGGGGGGGGGGGGGGGGGGGGGGGGGGGGGGGGGAGGACCTTCCCCCCCCCCCTTTTGGGGGGGTGGGGGGGGTGGGTTGGGAAATTGCAAGGGGCTGTGGGGGGGGGGGGGGGGTGGTGGGGTGGGGGGGGGGGGGGGGGGGGGGGGGGGGGGGGTGGGGGGGGGGGGGGGGGGGGGGGGGGGGGGGGGGGGGGGGGGGGTGGGGGTGGGGGGGGTGGGGGGGGTGGGGGGGGGGGGGGGGGGTGGAGGGGGGGGGGTTGGGGGGGGGTGGGGGGGTGGGTGGGGGGGGGGGGGGGTGGGGGGTGGGGGGGGGGGGTGGGGGGGGGGGGTTGGGGGGGGGGGGGTGGGGGGGGGGGGGGGGGGTGGGGGGGGGGGGGGGGGGGGGGGTGGGGGGGGGGGGGGGGGGTGTGGGGGGGGGTGGGGGGGGGGGGGGGTGGGGGGGGGGGGGGGGGGTGGGGGGGTGGGGGGGGGGGCATTGGGGGGGGGGGGGGGTGTTGGGGGGTGGGGGGGGGGTGGGGGGGGGGGTGGGGCAGGGGGGGGGGGAGGGGGGGGGGGGGGTGGGGGGGGGGGGGGGGGGGGGGGGGGGGTGGTGGGGGTGGGGGGGGGTGGGGGGGGGGGTGGGGGGGGGGGGTGGTGGGGGGGGGGGTGGGGGTGGGGGGGGGGGGGGGGGGGGGGGGGGGGGGGGGGGGGGGGGGGGGGGTGGGGGGGGGGGGGGGGGGGGGGGGGGGGGGGGGGGGGGAGGTGTGGGGGGGGGGGAGGGCTAGGGGGGGGGTGGGGGGGGGGAGGGGGGGGGCGGGGGGGGGGTGGGGGGGGGGGGGGGTGGGGGGGGGGGGGGGGGGGGGGGGGGCGGGGGGGGGGGGGTGGGGGGGGGGGTGGGGGGGGTGGGGGGGGGGGGGGGGGGGGGGGGTGGGGGGGGGGGGGGGGGGGGGGGGGGGGGGGGGGGGTGGTAGTGGGGGGGGGGGGGGACTGGGGGGGGGGGGGGCGGGGGGGGGGGGGCGGGGGGCTCACTTTGGGGGGGGGGGGGGGGGGGGGGGGGGGTGGGGGGGGGGGGGGGGGGGGGGGGGGGGGGGGGTGGGGTGGGGGGGGGGGTGGGGGGGGGGGGGGGTGGGGGGGGTGGGGGGGGGGGGGGGGGTGGGGAGGGGGGGCTGGTGGGGGTGGGGGGGGGGGGGGGTGGGGGGGCTTTTCCTAAATATTGTCCATGTGTCGGCGCCCTTATGATAGCTACATCAGATTACCTCTCAACCAAAAAGGCTATTTCATACAAACGGCACATGCCAATCGTATTTATGAAAGATATTTACTAGTATGTCATATAAATAGTCCGTTTATGTAGGGCTCTTATCTGCGGTCTTCTTTGTCACAGATTTCACAACTCTTCCTGGTCATCTGTGAAAGGGAAAGAAAGATAATCTATTATGTAAAAGTAAAGTAAATGACATTTTTCTTGTCAGTGGCGCACAGGACACATGATATTAGTTTCAGATTTTTAGAATAAAGTCTCCCCACTTCTTGGATGAAGTCACAATCACGTTGCCACTTTTTGCTTCCTAGAAAACTTCATGGTTGTTTGGTTGGTTTAGTGTATGGGTGAGTGGGTTGATGGTTGGTTAGTTTAGTAGATGGGTGAGTGACTGGGTGAGACAGGGGGCGAGTAGATATTTGACTGACTTGTTAAGTAGGAGGGTAGTTTATTGCGTGGGTGGCTGATTGAATCATTGATTGGTTGGTTGAGTAGGTGGGTGGTTTGTTGGTTGGTTGAGTTGGTGGTTAATTGGCTGCTTCTGTGGGTGGGCGAGTGAGTAACTGATTGGTTGGTTTGGTTGTTGGTTGAGTTGGTGGGTGGTGACTGATTGCTTGCGTAGGTGGGTGAATGCATGGTTAATTGGTTGCTTTAATAGGTAAGTGGATGGGTTGCTGAGTAGACGACAAAAAGGCCTGATTAATTGGTTTACTGTAAATTTTCTGAAAGCCTATATGTATTCAGTTTTAAGTCCGATCCATAGAGAGACTTAACCATCTATGTTCGCAAAACAGGGCTTACATTTTTCGCGGTATGGTTTATTATGTTGCTTTTCTTCAAAGTCGACGTCTGTGACAGGCGTTGCGAAGGCGCTTCGTAAATGCTAGGGTGCCAGGTTCGATCCTAACTACAGTCGATATAGCATCAGAACGTCTTGTATTGGTTTCGACAGTGGTATCAAGAGCCGACCCTCGGTAAGCAATGGCAAACTACTGAACGTAAAATTTGCCTACAAGATTCATAACAGTCAAAAACGCGGGTTTTGTGTCTGTAACGTCCTGTAAAGGATACGCAACTAACGTGTTTTTTCAAACACCTCATTAAAGTAACATTTCCATTTCAAATTTGTCGCACGCAATCTCCCTAGTACCTTCCTGTAGATAACCGTGACCTTCTATTACCTTGAATTGTCTCAGCTTACGTCCTCTCTCCTCTCTCTCTCTCTCTCTCTCTCTCTCTCTCTCTCTCTCTCTCTCTCTCTCTCTCTCTCTCTCTCTCTCTCTCTCTCTCTCTCTGGGTGCCCAATTTGTAACCCTTTGAAAATAAAGTTCGTTCGTTCGTTCTCTCTCTCTCTCTCTCTCTCTCTCTCTCTCTCTCTCTCTCTCTCTCTCTCTCTCTCTCTCTCTCTCTCTCTCTCTTGTTCTCGGCATTCTTGATTAACAGCTTCGAATTTTCTCATTTCGTGCTATATTTACCTTTCATTATGTTTGCATTCTTGATCTGCCCCTTTTAATGTTCTCAGTTTGTGCCCTCTATGACTGTTACTATGTCTTTTACTTTCAACTACTGTACTGGATCGTGGTATGGGACGTCGCAGGTCGACCCAGCCTCAAATGGGTACCAGTATGGGCTGCCCTGGGAAAGTAAAGACGGCCGACATAATGCTGACCACATTACCCATCGAGTGCCGATTGGTCTGTAAAAATATGGGTGCTCTTCCCATATCCCCGATGCGCCAAAGGGCGGGTAAAGGGATCTTTACTTTACTTTTACTTACTGTATTGGATTTCCTTATTTAGGCTTCTTGGACAGCTGATTTATGTAGCCAAGAGTTTATTATAAATATAAATTGCACATGAAAATGAAAATCCTGAACAATAATACTTTGCTATAAAGAAAATGGGAATCGTCGTGGCGTAGCGGCTAGACGCTCGCGTGCGGATCGGAAGGTCTGGGTTCGCTTCCTGGTGGAGCCGGACTATTTTCAAAAATGACTTGTCTCCCAGGAGGACCCAGTCTTGAGTGGGTACCCGGTGCAGTCCACGGAAGTACCACATCCCCCATTTTGTGCCGATTGGTCTATAACAATTTAGGTCTAGCCCTCTACGCCTAAAAGCATGGAAAAGAGACCTTTACTTTTTCTTGTACTTTATATAAAGAAAATAACAAAGCCTGAAAGTGAAATCAAAACAGTCAGACTTACTTTGTTTGGCTTCCTTATGGACTTTTCTGATCTGTGAAGTCGGTGTCTTTACTTTGATCATATTCTTGATTCCGACCTTTATCATTTTCTGTAGGGGCGTCTTTTGGCTTAGTTAACAATTTGAGCATATCTCCTAAACCTGCCAAAGCATCAAAGAGAAAATGTTTCTTCTTGCCTCCTTTGTCGCTTCCTGATTTACCAAATGCCGAAAAAAGGTTGTTCTCCGCGCCATCCATGCCCTCCATGCCACTGAACAAATTCTCAAAGTCAAAAAATCCACCAGAACCTCCCGTCTTGGAACCCTTGGATTTGCTGCCTCCTTGTTTTAAAGCTTCGTCAAACTGCTTGAAAAAACTGCTCATGTCAAAATTCAGAGATTCACCAAAGCCGCCATCTTCCATCCCTGTGAGATCGTACATTTGTCTCTTTTTCGGATCACTGAGGATGCTGTAAGCTGCGGAAACAGTGCACAGAATATTAACACGTTGACAATTTTTTAACTGTTCTGTATCTTTTAACACATAACTTCAGCACATATCTGGCAATTTTTCAGTCGTTATTTTTTTTTTTTTTAATCAACTCAGGTTGCCGAAAGGTATCCAGTTCTTTATTATTGATATTGTTTTTATAGTTAAATCCCTTAATGTTTTCTTCATATTTTTCTCAGTTTAACTCTTTTCATACGGCTTGTGTCGGTGTGTATGTTATATTCAGTCTGAGTAATGCTCACAACAGTATGTTTCATAATGTACATCTTTGTTTTACTGTAATGCTTCTCAGAGATAAAGTTCTACTTTTGAAAAAAAAAAACTAATGTTTTCAAAATAAGCTAAAATTAAAACAGAATGAGTAAACTAGAAGCTTCCCAATAAAATAAACCTACGAATGAAAACAACATCATGGCTAGAAAGCTTTCATCAGCATAGGACATCGTTAACAAAGACAGTCCTGCTTTTATGAGCGCTGATAGGAGTGGTTAATTAATTTCTCGTGATCTTTTTCTTCTTCGATCCTTTCGTCCGAATATACATATCAGGAAGCCGGTAGACAAGAGAGTGACAGCATAAACAAACTCAACAGGAAAAAAAAAAAACATCAATTTTTTAGACTTCGGACTGGACACTTTTGTCTTCGAGCACACCTGTACAGGATAGGCATAAAAGAATCTGCTGCCTGTGATTGTGGAGCAGAAAGACAGACCCCTGAGCACATACTGTAGTACTGCCCTTACCTCTCCCAGCAAAGACTGTGGATCTGGCCCAGGCGATTCACATTGCGAGAGAAGCTATGGGAAACCGGTGGCGACCTTAAACGCACAATCCTATTTTTGACCCAGACGGGACTCAATGTGTAGCATGACTGATGTCGAACGCAGAAGAAGAAGAAGGTAGTCCTTATGAAAGCTATAGTGTAGTCCAAATCTCAATGAGTACCATCCAGCCTTGTCTTCACTGAGGTTTGAATAGGCAAAATTACTTTTCTGTTAGCAGCATTACAGTTTATTGTGTTGAATACATGATGCACATTCTACCGCCAGGTTGCAGAGACACGTCTCTCTGTTTCCTGCACCGAAACGTCTGAACACATGTTGGCGAAGCCTGTTGTGCCCTGTTCTTGCTAGACAATCTAGCTTCATGGCACTGGGAATCACTTTTGTTAAAACTGATTGAAAATACACGAAACAGAAAGGTGAGAACATTCATGACTACCAAGGCTACACGGTATGGACTATAAAAAGACACGTCCCTAAAGCAATTTCAAACCAATTTCATTGGTTTGACTTTCCGGTACATAGACTCCTAGACAAAAACAATAAATCCTGAACTTATGACCAAATCTCAGCGAAATTTCTCAGACGTCTATAAGCATGAATGAAGTTTATTCCCAGCAAAAGTCGATTATTTGGCTTGAACAGTTTGACTTGTATAGTGCATTTTGTTCAGCCGGGGTCCGGGGGGGGGGGGGGGGGGGTGTATTTCTTGTCAACAATTGTGCGTCGTTCACAGTCTGTGTCTATATATCATACAATCTATGGTTTGTACGTTTCCATGTGAGTTGACTACAGTTTCTTGCAAATATGTTTGTTAATGTCAGAATAAAATAAATGAAACATCAAGCATAGATAGAACATGTGTATTTGTAGAACTGAAAGTTTCCACTGAATGTCAATCAATCAATCAGGTGCCGTCTCCACAATGAAGGTTGGCTGCAATGGATCTCCAACAAGCCCTGTCTCTTGCCCTTGATGTACAATCACTCATACTGCTGTTCGTCCATCTCTTGATGTTATCTTCCCACTTGTAACGCTGTCTGCCTCTTGCTCGCATACCTTGAACCTTTCCCTCTAGGATGATCTTTACAATACTGTTATGTCTTTTAATCCACTGAATGTACACACTACTTTTAAAAAAAATTATAATAAGTCGGAGTGTATCTGCCCGAGAGGCAAGGAACTAACAAACTGCAATTAGGCCAGATCAGAAATTTGAACTTTTCAAACAGTTGATTGAAAAAAAAAAAAATTATAAATACCTTTGGCGATCTTTTGAAACTTGTCAGAGGCATCCGGCTCTTTATTTTTATCTGGGTGATATTTCAGAGCAAGATTTCGGAATGCTAGTTTAATCTCCTGTTGTGAGGCTTTTTCTGGTACCCCCAGAGTGGTGTAATGCTCCAGCTTAGCTTTTGCATCCACAAATGAATGGAAAAAAACAAAGCCATATATGGCAGTCCAAAAAAAGAGGCTACTGTGCGTATTCATCATCAATTGTAATTAAGATTCAGCGGTACACGGTGCTGTTTTGTTTTCTGCAAAAGAATCAGCGAATTACATGATTGCTTTTATAAACGAAGAATATTACTAATTTGAGTATTTAATTTTTGTGTTCATGCATTCATTCATTAATTCATACACTCATTCATTCATTCTTCTTCTTCTGCTTCTTCTTCTTCTATTTCTTCTTCTTCTTCTTCTTCTTCTTCTTCTTCTTCTTCTTCTTTTTCTTCTTCTTCTTCTTCTACTACTTCTACTTCTTCTTCTTTTTATTCTGCTTCAGTTTCTTCTTCTTCTTTCTTCTTCTTCTCCTTCTTCTTCTTCTTCTTCTTCTTCTTCTTCTTCTTCTTCTTCTTCTTCTTCTTCTTCTTCTTCTTCTTCTTCTTCTTCTTCTTCTTTTTCTTCTTCTTCTTCTTCTTCTTCTCATTCTTCTTCTTCTTCTTCTCATTCTTTTGCTTCTCCTCTTCTAGGTTTGTTCTATCTTTCAGGTAAAATTTTCAAGTTCTAAGAGGATTAAGGTTCCAACCTTCGCATGTGCAACGTAGATGCTAGTATTTACAGCCTGGGATATTCCATCTATCCATTGCTTGCAAGGTCGACCTCTAGTTCTGCTTTCATTATGTCTGAGTGACAGAGCTAGCTGTGGTGCATTCTATGGTGATAGTCTTCATCCATGTCCGAACCATTTCATCTGTTGTCTCTCGGTGTTGTTTAATACTGATCCCATCCCAACTTCTTGCTTGTTTGCTTTGCTAGAAGAAGAAAAATACCCCCACGTCCATCCAGCATGGAAAACCAGAACTTTAAATACATGTGATAGCAACATTGTTCATAAATCCTATACTCTATTCTTAGAAGACTTTTCTTAACGCAGGTGGGTCTTGCTAGTCCCATTCGCCATCGCGATGGGCTGCGATTTCCCTGTATCTCCCTAGCACAAAATAACACTGTCATCTGGAAAGACCGAAATGTGCCAACAATGAAAAAAGAAAAACATAGATTCCCAAAATAAATAATGATAGTATTGACATAAGTTTTTAAAAAAAAGTTTATTGCGCATCCTTTAAAGGAAGTGTTAGAACTAACCCCAGCATTTTGGCTGTGGTTTTACTAGGCCCATTTTACATTGGATAGTTTGCCATTGTTTCCTTAACGGTCAGCTCTCTGTAACACTGTCGAAAGCAGCGCAAGAGGCATTTACTAAGGAACGGAAATTTCAGCAAGGAATATATTCCCGGTGGTATGAATAATACCCACAAGAGTATCTTAAAGATTTTATCTCACCTTTTGTAAGTTCTGACACTTTATGGCTGTATAGAATAGTAAACTATCTTAAAGACTTTTATCTCACCTTTTGTAAGTTCTGACACTTTATGGCTGTATAGAATAGTAAACTATCTTAAAGACTTTTATCTCACCTTTTGTAAGTTCTGACACTTTATGGCTGTATAGAATAGTAAACTACTTTTATCTCACCTTTTGTAAGTTCTGACACTTTATGGCTGTATAAAATAGTAAACTATCTTAATGACTTTTATCTCACCTTTTGTAAGTTCTGACACTTTATGGCTGTATAGAATAGTAAACTATCTTAAAGACTTTTATCTCACCTTTTGTAAGTTCTGACACCTTATGGCTGTATAGAATAGTAAACTATCTTAAAGACTTTTATCTCACCTTTTGTAAGTTCTGACACTTTATGGCTGTATAGAATAGTAAACTATCTTAATGACCTTTATCTCACCTTTTGTAAGTTCTGACACTTAATGGCTGTATAGAATAGTAAACTATCTTAATGAGTTTTATCTCACCTTTTGTAAGTTCTGACACTTTACGGCTGTGTAGAATAGTGAACTATCTTAATGACTTTTATCATTAGGTTGACACTTAATGGCTGTATTGAATAGTTAACTATCCTAATGACTGTCTTCCTTTGAAAATGCAAGAAAAGTGGCAGAACCGGTGTGTTCATATCTATCTGATGAAGTGTGAGTACACGTCAGTGAAAACTCCATACGCATTGAAAACATCCACGACAGCGCCCTATGCAACACGTGGTAGCTTCAGATGTACACGACACACCACCCAACTGGCTGGGTCAGTCATGTGATTAGAGGAAATGTAATTAATTGTGCGTGGAAATCCAGACAGAGCGAGGCAATAATGTCCTGCTTATTGTTAAAGCACGATCAATGATCTCCGAACGTCAATATGGTAAACGGCGAATGTACACGTCAAATTCGTTGTTGAATATGCAATAAGATACTCCAATTGTGTAACGTGTACTTAAAATATTTTGGGTCTCCCGCTTGGGATTGCAGGACGTTGAGAATTTTCTGACGCTATTAATTACCGTATTTGTCGGTGTTTAAGACGCACTTTTTTAAATTCTTAGAGTGGGAATTAAAATTAGGTGGGCCTACGCGTCGTTGTATGGGAAAAAATAGTAAAGTAAATAAAGATCCCTTTTCACGCCTTAGGCGCATCGGGCAGATGGGAAGAGCGTCCCATATTTTTTCAGACCAATCGACACTGGATGGGTAATATGGTCAGCATTGCGCTGGCCGTCTTTACTTCCCCCAGGACATCCATTCTGTTACCCATTTTAGGCTGGGTCGACCTGCGACGCCCCATACCATGATAAAAATCCACGCAAGGGGAAAACAATAGTAAGCGTGATTTCTACACTTTGAGTGTTAACACACCAGTTGATAAAACATGACGACGAACAGAGTAACAAATCAGCAGAACATAATTTCGGACCTCCACCGACCCCGGTGACCTGGGGAGGGGGGGGGGGCGGTTGAGGGCACAAGACTTAGGCGGTCTCGTGTGGATGTCTTGTGAAAAAAAGAACATATGAAAACGATATTCGAGAGCCCGCTAGACGATCGTAATATACTGTTAAAAGAGCCTAGATATCTGATGGCGCTTTCCTGTTAAAAAAAAGGAAACGCAAAGTTATCCTATGGCGTTTTTTTAATAATTTGTTGACGGGAAAGCCTGTAAGCCTAAAAATTACCTATGCCTTTTTTTTTTCAGTAGTAAAGCTCTATCAGATAACAATACATTTCTTTGGTGACGGTACGTCTGCCTTCTTCTTCTTCTTCTTCTTCTTCTTCTTCTTCTTCTTTTTCGTCTTCTCTAATATCTTTTTTTTTTTCAATGGAATCCAACGTAGCCTGGCCCTCTTATAGTTTTGTTTTAATAAGTGTTCTTTTTTTACGGGTGCTTGTGATTTCATAAACAGTTATGCATTACGATGTTTCATGAACATTTGAATCAAAGTAATGACCAGATAAATAGTCTGATAAATTAAAGACATAAACACCAGTTTCAACAACGTTAGCTTCTGTCCATACTTGCTCTCTTGTCTTTACTTCATCTAGACGTGTTCAAACAGTTGAAAGAAACTCGTTGCAGCACTATATGTCAATAACTTTCTTGTGGTGACGTATAGTCTCTCCACAGTTTGCTTCAATCTTGAGGATAAATAATTACTTCTCGAAATCAATTCCCCAATCTTCAAATCTAGGTTGCATAAAAGTTTATATTTCCTGATTCTTGATACAAATATTAAGCGATCTCACAACCATAGGAATCAATTAATTCTCCCAGCTGCTGTTCCTACTTGTTCGGAAGGACAGTGACGGGTTGCATGGGTCAAAGTGTTAGGCATCGATTAACCAGCGTTGACGCTGACATTTGACGCAGAAGTTCATTAATTGCGGCAAGCTGGTAACTGAAAGAGGGTAGGTTAGTTCGTGGGGTAGTTATATATGTAAAATACCATGAAACTGGGACACTGTTTTAAAGATGCAAACTTATCCCTTCTGCTGAATTGCATATTACTCTGTTATGATTCATGGTAATACTAGTGTATGAGGAAATGAATACACTGATAGACCAAGCTGTCTCTTTTAATAGACAAGAGTTATTAGTACATTCAAGTATGGACAGAGCTGTCACAAACAAATATGGATAAGATTGTTATATTTAATAAGGACCAGACGTGTCATATTCAGTCATGGATAAAAAGGGTCACATTCAAACATAGACACACCTGTCACATTCAAGCATAAACCAAGCTGCCACATTCAAGCATAGACACAGCTGTCACATTCAAGCATAGATAGAGCTGTCACATTCAAGCATAGATAGAGCTGTCACATTCAAGCCTAGACACATCTGTCACATTCAAACATAGACACAGCTGTCACATTCAAGCATTGCACAGCTGTCACATTTGAGCAGGACCAGGCTTTCATAATCAGGTGGGTATAAACTTTTAAAACAGACCACGAGAAATCTTGAAGAAACAAAGAAAACAATTACAAAATTGGTACAAACTTATAACTGGATGGTAGGTAGTGTGACTAAGAAAAGTGCAGGCATGTGGTAGGAGGAGAGCATATCTTATAATATTTTCAAGAACTTTTCATGTTCATGTGAACCTTTTGTTTATTCCAGTGCTTCTGAGTAGTTGACTCTTGGCAGCTCACCACCACAATTATCTGATGGTATTTAGGTCTATGGTTTCTGCTGCAGTCATAGACATTTAAAAAAAAAAGGAACTTGGTGATGACTGGCAAGATTGATGGGGTAAGAACAAGAGGAAGGCAGAGATATGGCTTAGACCCGAAGGATAGTGTAATGAGTGGGAAATCACATGATGTCAGAAGGGGTTGCCCAAATGAGACTGATCAAGAGTTTAAAGGCAGGTTAGGAAAAAAATTAGTTGTTTGTTTTTTCTTTTAGTATCCAGAAGCCATGAGTTGTTAACCCTTAGGCTCGGTATTATGGATATAGCAACCTTTCGGCCTTGATTCCATTGTAAATACCGTAAATCTGGGAGAAGTGTGGCTTCTCTACCTACCCCCAGGAGTGAACCCAGACAACAAGGAGTTCATCACCCGGTCACCGCGCAATCTGGTTTAGCCAACTACGCTAGAGAGCCGGGTGGAAAAATTAGTAGAAAAGTGTATTCAAAG